TAAAGACCTAAAGAAGACCTAACCGAAGATCACGTGATCACACACGGAAATCACTTCTGTGAAGTGACCATCGAATGTTCCCTTCACTAATGGACTTCTGGAAGGGCCCTTCGTGAAGGGATTCAGTTGTTCACTTTCGTTTGGAACGTCCCTACAAATGGCGTCCTCTTTAGTTAATTAATTTTAGATTAATTAACTAAAATAAATGTAATCTTACCATATCCAAAAACTTGCTCACTCTGCTGTTATTTAATAGATTAAAGGCCCTAGAATTTTATTGAATACTACGTGGGGACACGTTTTTAATTAAAATATTCATAATAATCAAGGATTTATTGGCTTTTAATGCACCTCATTTCGAAATGTACATAAATGCATGCTTTCATATGTGCTTTGGTTATGATTATTTCATTTATTCACTACTTACGATTATTTTGTTTCATTTGGTTCTAGTTTTGTATGTATTCCAGTTTTTATATGAAAAAGGTTCATGTAACCTGGATTCAAATTCATGCACAGAGTAAATCCTTTTCACTGAACATGCTTCTAAAAAGAAGTTGGAAAAGGTTGTCGGAAGCTTGGGAGAGCGACTGCGGTGTAGTTCTGAAGTTGAGCTTTTTAGTTCTGGCGCTGGTATTTAGGCTTCGGAATTCATAAAAGTTGTATTATTTTGTGAAGATTATCTCGATGGACAAAACGTGTAAGTGTCGTGAACTATGGTTGAACACAGTTAATTTTGTTTACTATAATCCAAAAGCCTATTTGCGATGCTAACAGCCGATTGGCCTACAAAGTGACGTCATAGCCCCCCCCCAACTCAATTTAGACAGCTACATTACATTTTCTATGAATATTTTGTTATTTTACATTAATAACTCGAATTATTTTAACTGCTTAACACATGACTAACCATTTTAGAGGGCACAGGCTCTTTTAAGCAGGAGTATTCCACTATTACATTTGAACATTAATCCTCCACAACACCCCCCCCCCCCCCACTCGACTTCAACTATGGTACATCATTATGTCTAGACTGTCAGAAGGACTACACGGAGGTGAACACGATATTCGGTATGTCATGCCACACCTGCACTCCTTTTAGTAGTTTACACACATCTTACAAGTGCACAAGAAACAGATCAAGAACTTATCAATGAAAAAAAGCCTGATTTTCCCCTCCGTTTTAATTTCAGCGACCAGGATCCAGTTTTACGCCACTGAGATTGCGAGAAACAGAGAAGGATATAATGACTTTGTCCACAAAGCCAGTTCAAAAGCCAAACAACAGAAAAAAGATGAGTTAATCATAACAGCTTAATATTTCTTGGTGTAGATGAGATCTTTCTACACAAAGTAGAGAAACAGTTAAATATGTCCTACTTATTTTTTTCCCCCATATGTAAAAGTTGCTTTTCTCATTTGTCTGCAAAAGTTGGATGGTTATTCAGTTATGATTTTCCTGCAATGTCTGGCACCTTTTGTTTGTAATAAATAACTACATATTTTCCCCTGAAAAACTGCTGCTGTACTGTGTGTATTGTAATTAGGATTGAATTTGCAACCTGGTTTTTTTTATATATGTTTGAGTGAAACAGGATTTTCAACAAAGTATAAAAATTAAAAACCAAAATAGACCCGAATACAATTTTTTTGGACTGCTTTCCTTTTTAAAACATTATTTTGATGGGGTGCGGAGGCTCAAGTTCAAAGCTCACCCTTGAGAACATTCTGATGTATCCCAATGCTGACTTTTTAAAATTTGATCATTATTGGCATTTTTACTGCATCACCAGGCATTAAATTACTGCTACACAGATTATTCTAAGAGTATGTTCCATCCAATAAAACACTGAGCAGATTCCATTCACTACAGCCCTCTAGGGGTATTTTTAGGGACTGGGGAGCGGGAGGTGCAGGCTTGCGCAGCGGTGGTCCCCCGGCAGCCGGGCCAGGGGCAGGTGGGAGTACGGGCCGGGGCTGGGCCACGTGGGCAGGGCCTGGTGCTCTATGGAATGTCAGCTCATCATATCGTTGCTGTTTACCCCGTATGTGGAATTCTTCATGGAGTCATTGACTTCTCTTCTAAATACTGAAAGATTCTGTGTAAACCTGCGAAAAAAAAAGAAAAAAAAAAGTTAGAATCTATACTATATATTACACTAGTGTTAATCGAGACGATAATAAGGTCATGAAACTATAGCTGAGACTAAATGAACATGCAGTATTGTTGACGAAAAAAGATGACTAAAATGTAGTTAAAGAACAAAAACTTTACCAAAACCTTTTTATTTTTGTTGAAAAAATTGGAGCCAAAACATTTCAGACTGCTGTACAAGCCTCTATTATGCGAGCGTTCATGTTTGCGGTTGCCAGATATCGAGATCGAATCCCCCAATCAGAGCTTTTCTGTTAAACGTATACATTACTCTGCCCGGCTTTTTGCTCTATGCAATCTGGCAACCATTCATACGCGCTCTGTCTGCGGAGGCAGCGTGATCTGAAAACACATCATATAGTACTGTAGAAGTAAGCTGGAGTTCAGCGATCTCCATTTGAGGTATTCTGCTTAAATGAAAGCGTCATTCAGCCAGTCTGTGCTCTGTCATGGATCTCGACTGTATTGTTTGTGATAGCAGGGCTCGCAAAATTCAAAATCCCTGGTAGCCCTTCGGGCAGGTACTCTTCAGATTTTGGTAGGCCGAAATTTAACTAGCCCAAATAAAAAAAAAACATAGAATGCATGCATACGAGTCGATATTCTATTGATTTGTGCTTATTGGTGTAAGAGCAACTTCTGATGAAATGTAAAAATATATTTTCCAAATGACAACAATCATTGCAATTAAAATTGAGCAAAAAATTTTTTTTAAAAATGTGTATATATATACATACATACATACACACACACACTGAACAAAATTATAAACGCAACACTTTTGTTTTTCCCCCCACTTGTCATGAGCTGAACTCAAAGATCTAAGACTTTTTCTATGTACACAAAAGGCCTATTTCTCTCAAATATTGTTCACAAATCTGTCTAAATCTGTGTTAGTGAGCACTTCTCCTTTGTCGAGATAATCCATCCACCTCACAAGACAACGAACACAGGTGCATTTTATTGATGACATTTAGAATGCACAGAGATACCATGACGAGACCCTGAGGCCCATTGTTGTGCCATTCATCCACGGCCATCACCTCATGTTGCAACATGATAATGCACGGCCCCATGTTGCAAGGATCTGTACACAATTCCTGGAAGCTGAAAACATCCCAGTTCTTGCATGGCCAGCATACTCACTGGACATGTCACCCATTGAGCATGTTTGGGATGCTCTGGATCGGCGTATACGACAGCGCGTTCCAGTTCCTGCCATTATCCAGCAACTTCGCACAGCCATTGAAGAGGAGTGGACCAACATTCCACAGGCCACAATCAACAACCTGATCAGCTCTATGCGAAGGAGATGTGTTGCACTGCGTGAGGCAAATGGTGGTCACACCAGATACTGACTGGTTTTCGGACCCCCCAATACAGTAAAACTGCACATTTTAGAGTGGCCTTTTATTGTGGCCAGCCTAAGGCACACCTGTGCAATAATCATGCTGTCTAATCAGCATCTTGATATGCCACACCTGTGAGGTGGATGGATTATCTCGGCAAAGGAGAAGTGCTCACTAACACAGATTTAGACAGATTTGTGAACAATATTTGAGAGAAATAGGCCTTTTGTGTACATAGAAAAAGTCTTAGATCTTTGAGTTCAGCTCATGAAAAACCATTATACAGTAAGATGAAAATATTAAGTCAGTTTAAACTGACTAAATCTAGACTAAAACTTGCCAAAAACTAAAACAGGACAAGTTGACTAAATATGATAAAAACTAAAAAAGTTACATTTGACACAGGACTAAGACTAAATTAAAAATAGCTGACAAAATTAACACTATTTTACACACAGAAATGCCATTAAATGTGCTATATCAATCTTTTCTACAGAAATGAATACATTTAACAGAACACCCACTTCTAAAAGGCTTAAATGCAAAGCAAGTTGAAATTCTGAGGAAATCAAATTACCTGTCTCTGTTTTTGGTCAGCAAGTTTCGCTCTATGCCCTCCATGAGATTTTCAAAGCATAAGTGCATGGCTTGCTGCTTTTCTGGTGGTTGGCTGTTCACAATGCTGTTCCTCAAATCTGCAAAATACTACAAACCCAATGCAGCAAATAAGAATGATTTCTGAAGGACCATGTGACACTGAAGACTGGAGTAATGATGCTGAAAATTCAGCTTTGCATCACACAATTACATTTTAAACTATATTCAAATAGAAAAATTGTGTAAAATTTTAAGAGGATTTCGCAATATTACTATTTCACAGTATTTTTGATTCAAATAAATGCAGCCTTTGTGAGCATAAGAGACTTAAAACATAACAAATCTATCACATACCTTCTCATTGAGTAGAATCAAGCCAAGCAGTGGCCTTGACATTGACCACTGATTCCTACAATCTTCGAAAATGATGATATTCAACACTGTGGAGAGCATCTGGATAAGATTGTGAGAACTCTTGTCAGATTAAGTATCTCCAATACATTTCAAAATGTAGAAGTATTTGATAAATATACACAAGGAAAATATATTTTATAACGAACATAAATGGCTGTCAAAATTACCTATTTTGTCCCTCTTATGCTTTAAATATGATGAAACACTAAATTATTAAAAACAAGTGTTTATTTTATGATTTAGTTTTATCTTTAAATCTAAGGTCTTTCAAAGCCTCAGCTCACCTGCTGGATCATCTCAGGGTGCTGCTGCATTATGTGAAGGAAGCGGTCGCTCTCCTGGGCCATGGGCGCCGCTCTTTTCTTTGTGCTGCGTGACAGCTGCTTGAATAGATAAGTAACTATGTGGTCCAAGCTTGAGCAGCAACCAGTGCATACCATTGTGTCTGTGAGGAGACAAACAGAAACAGAGTTCTGGTTCAAAGGATCACAAACACCTAGGAGTCCATGATGGAACTGCAGGAGGGTTTGTGAGATTAAATAGTGTAAAAAAAAAAGAAGCTACATGCACACAAAAATCATTGTCATGATGAGAAGGTCCTTACCAAGTGCTGTGAGCCCCTCTGATATGGAGGACAGGATGTACATGACCACATGAGGCTCCAGGCTGGCGATGAAGTTCATATGGTCTTGGGTTAGCACCTCCAGAAGAGAGTAGAAAGACTGACTAAGCTTTGGATAGTCCTGCAAGAACAAGAACAAACCAACCAAAAATCAACCAATATGAATGCTGAAGGACACAATCCTAAATCTGACAGCTGACGATTTTTACCAGCAGGTCACTATGAGGGATGGACAAGAGCAGTTTAATAAAGGTCTGCAGGGCATTGTCCAAGGCGTCATCGCCATACAGACGGAAGACGCCGAAGTTGACATAGTTGCCACTTAATACGGCTTTCAGCATGGAGAAACAAATGGAGATTCCCTTCAGTTTCAGCGCGTACACCTGATCTTTTGGCACCTCACCCAGCGTCAGAATCCGATTCCCTTTAAGTGGAAAAATTACATTACTATTATGATGATAATTCAATTTAATTTTTTAATATTTAATAAAGCTGCACCATACCAGAGGAACAGTTCACCGAAACATGAAAACTGGGTTATTATAGGCGAGTTTGTACCATATGTTGTAATCATCTTGCTGGTCTCCCTGAACAGCAGGATTCCATTCGGTGACGACACATCAAACTGTAATCTCTGTGACCTTCATGTAAAAAAAAAAAGAAAAGAAAAGAAAAGCACACACTATAAGCCAGAGAACATACATAACCTTTAAACTCAGCTCTAAAGGACACATGTGAAATGTAACATGGTGTACCTGTTGTGGACAAGCTCAGCCATGAGTTTGAGGACTGGTGTGGTGCAGGCAGGTACATGGTACCAGAGCTCTATCGCCCGCTGTAAGATGGGCATGTAAGAGGGGTAACTAAGATATGTTAAGGAGCACATTAAAATTGGCATTCAATCTGAATTGACCTAAGAGATAAGTTTTATATCATTTACTTATTATTTTCTTGCATTTTTTAAATAAAAAGAAAATAATAAAATCTAAATAAATAAATATACATACATACATACAAACACACAAATGTGAACAAATAAATAAGTAATTACACAAAATAAATTAATAAATAAACATGCGAACAAACAAAAAAACAATTAAGTGGGAAAAAAAAATTACAGAAAATAAAAAAAACTAATTACACAAAGAATGGAATAAACAAATGAAAACAAACATGCAAATAAACAAAAAAAGGGAACAAACAAACACAAATAAAATAAACAAATAAATGACACCAATAAAATAAACAGAAACAAACAAACAAATGTAAATTAAAGGATACATCCAATCAAAGAGCATCAAAAAAAAAAATTACAGAAAATAAAAAAAACTAATTACACAAAGAATGGAATAAACAAATGAAAACAAACATGCAAATAAA